ACTTAAAAATGGGCAAAAACGACATTTTTTGCACTTATAGGTTAGAATATCTCAAAATCCTGATGTGATAGAGCAATTCTGTGGCCAAATTCGAATTCAGCGCACCGAAAACCTTCGGGAAAGTATAGTTTGGTTTCTGGGTAAAAATTTTGTCGGCCTGTGTAATTTTTCAACTAATATTGAGTTATTTGGAAAGATGTCAAAGGTGTAAGTATTTGGTTTAACTCAAGCAGGCTGCTAGGTGTTATACATCAATTTAAAGTCAGATGCTATATAAGCAGAAACAAACTACTTTTACTGAGGAAATTGGTTGAGCCATGCCGATACTAATGCATGTAAAACCTGCGCATGTGCAAAACGTACTCTTTATCCTTAAACTATCTCCCTTTGATTGCTGAATCCAAATACATTTCGCGGATAGGTTACTGCCAATATGCAAGTATTAAATATGTACATATCGTTACCTTAATTCACAAAGGCCCTATCGGCAGTTTTTGATTTACTTTTTATAATGTTTTATGCTTCTCCTGCAAAATAGAAAATTTGCTGGTTAGGGCCTTTGTAAATTAAGGTAACGATGTACCTAAATACATACGGGTCATTCCATACAATATTTACACCTCAATATTTTTTTTTGGGTGAAATATATTTTTTTACACATTTTAAAAGAAGACACCTTTTTTATTTCGTCATGATATTCGAAAAATCTCGAAAAAAACCTTCCCGAAAATTTGAACTCACGGAGAAGTACCTTAAATGATTTTCTCCGACAAATAGTTTATTAACTGCAAACAAAGAAAAAAGATACTTCTCCGTGAGTTTAAAATTTGGGGAATTTTTTTCCGAGATTTTCGAATATCATGACGAAATAAAAAAATTGGTGTCTTCTTTTTTTCGATACAGAATGTAAAAAAATGTTTTTCACCAAAAAAAAAAAATATTGAGGTGTAAATATTGTATGGAATGACCCATACATATTTATGTACACACATACACACATATTATCCGGCCAAAACAGCAATAATTACTTTTACTAGGAGAAGAAACCTTCCAGGCATGCACCCTACATATAACACTAGGAGGCATAGATATAGAAATGTGCAATGAGGTAAAGTATCTAGGGGCAATTTTCGACTGCAAAATTTTATGGAAAAAGCACGTCGAGTACACTGCATATAGGGGTATTTGACCGATTTAGGCGGCGAAAAATTATTTTTATGAAAATTTTAACTCTAAATGTTTAGAAACGACTTGTTACGATATTTAAAACTATAAATGTTTAAAATCAAGTAAATAGAGGGGGAGGATGTCCAGGTATTCCACCAAAACAACGAAAATAAAGTTGCTTAAAGTTTGACATCCATCTTATCGAGGTCGGATTGCAGAAACATTGATACCCACGTATTCGTATTGGCCGGAGATGGTTTATTCCTAGGTTAGAATATAAAAAGTGTTGCCACCTGCTAAAAAGTTAAATGCAATTAAGTTAAATGAGTTACTACAATATGGGTATCAATCGAGATGGTTTTGAAAAGGCTTTCTTGCTAAACAACATGTGGGAGGATTATCTTCTATTTAAAAATTAAATTAAACTTTAATTCAAGGAAATTAGGTAACTGAAATATGTATAACAATATGGGTGTCAGACTAAAACCAAATTTTGGAGGATACTAAAAGAGAGGATATGTACAAAAACTCATAATAAAAAGTTTCGACCTCTATCAAGGGGTGTCTGTACGACCTGAAACATATATGTAACACTCGTGAATCTTTGTTATGTAATACAAATTTTCATAACAACATGAGTCTGCGAAATTCGAGCATTACGTATATGTAACACCAGCGTTTAAAGAGTTAATAAGGTTATTATTTGAAACAATTTTTAGCAGGGCTGCCACCTGTTTAAAAATTAAACTCAATGTTTATATTAGGTTAAATAATTTTTAACAATATTGACATCTTCCAAAATGGCTTTGAAAGGGCTTAATGTTCAACTAATTTTAGTAGGATTGCTACCTGTTAAAAAAAAAATCAAATTCAAAATAACATATGATTAGAAAAAACACTATATGGACCAACCATTATATTGAGTTTTAATAAAATAATTTGAACCTTATCAAACACGTAGAAATTTCATACACTCATCGATCTAACTATAGTATATAGTAGTTTGTTTTATTTGAAATGTCTTTTAAATTTAATTTTTTAGTGCATATTTTGTAACTTCTTGGAACTAATAATTATCAAAATTGTTAAAGCCGTTTCCTAGAAAACTTTGGATATATATACATACATATTTACAAGAATTGATTGTTTAAAGTAATGAGAGGCATACATACATATATATGGTAGTAGCAAATTTTTACTAGAACTTGCCCTTAAGTAGAGAATTTTTTTCTAAATGTACTGACAACTATTTTCTCCCTGCAAATTTCCAAATTTTTATATTGAACCCCTCCCCCCCTTAACTTTGTTGGGCGTCTTGACTTTCCTATCACCCCCTTTACTCATTGAAAACTTTTACAGAAAACTGGTACAATACTGCAGCAATATTTTCGGGTTATTTTTCAGCATTAGTAAGTATTTCCAATGGTCACCGCACAGCAAACGCACATTTTCAGCAGTTTTTTTTGTTTGTTTCCAAACTACGAACTGTCAAGCATAACACCCAAGCAAGAATCTCAGCGCCGTTGAGTGGTGTTACATAACTTTATGTCTGTATTTCATTCATCTAATCCATTAAAATTAGCAAAAATACGATGTTTTTCCTTGTGGCTCTGCCGGTACCAGTTCATATTATATTTGTATTAAACTATTTGGATTATATGGTATTTAGCTGCTTTAAAATTATCCAATTTAATATAATTCAAAAAATTAACACACGATTTAAAGCAGTTTTTTACAACTTCGGCTTTTATTAAACACATCTAAAAACCAAATAAACAATTATCAACACGGCACTTTGACAGCGCTGTGCGAGCGAATTAAAGCAGAGAGGGATTAAAAAATAGCGAAATCTAGTCAATAATTATATTCTCTTTACCCTATATTCAGTTATAAAAGAAAAAAGTACGTTTGGAAAATTCGACTTTTGGCCGCCTAAATGGGCTAAATCGCCCCTCTGTGTGCTGTAACAAAAGCCACACGAGCTTTAATGGTGTGCAGAAGACTGGCCGGCAAATCATGGGGTGCAGCCCCTACATTCTGCGGTGGATGTATACAATGATTGTCAGGCCAATAGTTACTGTCCCATCGCGGCCCTGGAAGTAATCCTGGACCTGTCGCCACTGCCCATAGTCATAGAACAGACTGCCCAGAAGACCCTCCCCAACTTCATGAGGGAGGGCACTGGAAAACGCAAGGTGGTTTCGTGCAGACTGGAAGACGAAATCAGAACCAGCTCAACAGAGGTGACACGGTTACGATAAGATCCTTCGAGAAAAAGTTTAGAACCGAACTAGGCAGCAAAGGTAACCAGGAACGAGACAGTATTGGATAACACCTTACGGACCCACACCCAAGGGTGGTTCACAGGCGGTTCAAAAACCGACGAAGGTATAGGTGTAGGAATTTCAGGAGGGGGTTCTTGCCATCAATGATTGTGCAGAAGTATTTCTGCAGAGACAACAAGACAGCACATTGTCATCTGCAGCGGCTGTATTAAAAGCCGTATCTTCGTGGGCAATTAATTCACGGTTAGTATGGGAATGTGTAAGGAGACTGAACGCCCTGGGGGACTCAACACGGTATAGCTGATGTGGGTCCCGGGCCACAAAGGCATACAGGGCAACGAGGAGGCTGACAGGCTAGCTAGAGAAGCAGCAGCCATTCGACCTATAGGACCAGAATCCTTCCTTGCAGTCGGCCCTCACACTATCAGGGAAGAGTTAAGAGCAGAAGAACGGCTCCTAAGTAGAGCACACTGGGAGAACAGGTCTGAACCAAAGCAGGCGAAAGAACTTCTAGGAAGCTAAATCCTCAGAAGATCTAGAGAACTAATCACACTCCACAAGACTAATTTGAGATTTATTACAGGACTGCTAACAGGTCACTGCAGGCTGCGGGCCAATATGCATACCATAGGGGTTAGCGCAGACGACTCCTGCCGCTACTGCGACAGGCTACCAGACACCTCACGGCATCTCCTCTTAGAATGTGATGCGGTGGCGAGAAGATAGATAACACACCAGAGAAGGCTCTGGCCGGAGGTTTCAGACATTCACTCTCTACAGCCCTCGAAACTGCTCGGCTTCATCAGAGCACTAGGACTGGACGAAGTGTTGTAATGAGCTCTGAGGGAACAATAGCCCTTAGGTCGTAGTGAACATTCTCTAACAAATCTACTTTATTCTACATATCGTCGCTACCATGTCAAACTATCGAATTTGCAAAAATGCTTTTTCAATTACGATACCTTTCCCATCCGTTTAGATTGATACGCAAGTTGGCAAATCGTCAAATTTCTAGTCTTCTTATAAGCAGAGGAAACTGGCTTTAACAAAGTGTCGAATCCCACACTTTTTCCTAGTGACCGCAACATTTATTACAACAGTTTTCACTTTCGATAGTTTGACATTGTAGCGACGATATGATCTCAAGCAGGTGAAGACTGCCAGTTAAGTTTGAGAATTAACTCTAGATTTATCCGGATTAACGCTGCCGTTTGTCTATACTTTAATATGCTGCAATATACATTCATCACCACGAGTATGAATAATACCATCCTTGACAGATTTTTACGTTCCATGTCTGTTTAGTATGAATTAGGCTGTGTGCAAAATTTGAGCCAAATCGAAGGCATTTATTTATAATCAAGGCATACTTAGGGCCGTTTTCTAATGTAAGCAGTAAGGTTACCATTACTAACAGAGCAGATAAATTGTTCATCACTTTCGCCATAAAATTTCAAAGCTTGGCAATGTAACATAAGCAAATATAGAGCAAGAGCAACTGTTAGCGAAAACCAAAACCTTGGTTGAAATATCTAATATATCTGACTCATGAACCAAAACCAAACCAAAATTTAAAGTTGGGTAAAATTTTTTAAATGTTGCATCTGGTGAGCAACATTTCATCTATTCGAGAAATTAATGCGCTGATGAGAAAACGAAAACTCGTATATCGAGACGATAAAGTGGCCGGTAATCTAAAGGTTAGATGAGAAAATGGCCCTTAAACTCATAGTATGTATGTACATATATGTATTTAGGTTTACTTAACACTTAAAACTTGACGACCGCAAACTTGCAAATAATGTTTTATGTCATTAAAGGTACTTCCCTCTTACAACAAACAAATCGGCAAGCTTGAAGCAGAGTCTACGCGCTGGCGCAGAAAACTGCATGACGCTAATAAAGATTTGGAAAAGCTAAAGAAGGAAATTCAAGAATCAAAGTATGTGGAAATTTTAAAGATATACCAAAAAGGAAAGGATTTGGAGGTTCGTTATTCGAAGCAGGACATAAATATAAATCACATATCCGGCATAAATACAGAATTTTTGCGTGATTCAGATAAAGTACGAAAGGCCTTTGGCATGGCATGTGAACTGCTAAAAAAATCGTACCCCAATCTCAATAGTGATATGAAAGATAAATATGAACAGCTGCAGCATTTTATAAAAAATCACACATATTTTGGACATGATGATTATAAGAAGGACAGTGATGAAGATTTGGAAATACCAACACTGCAAAACAATGGTAAACGTGTCTATAAAATCAATACGGTCGATTTGCCTGCGTCTACGAGCACTGTAAAGAAGCCTCGTAGGAAAAGTCCAGAATTAGAAACTGACTATGAGTTAGGTTTAGATGTTATGGATGATACCGACTCAGACGATGGTATTAGTATTTTCAAAAAACCTTCAACCATACCCAGTAATATCGATGAAACGCATGTGCTATCATGCACGACCGATGATGAATACAGCACGAATACAGACGTTAGCGCGATAAAGTCTACGGCAGATAATAAAGAAAATAGTCAGTTATTGCGAAAAAAGAATTTGGTCAGCAATATCCTGTCAGAGCAGATTGCAAGGGTTCCAATAAACAAAGATCGCGTAAAGAGTGGTAGTTATTGGTGAAAAACTTAAATCGCTTACAATAACTTATGATTTTTTGTTTGTTGCAGCATTACTTAAATCTAAAGCATTCAATCATCACAGCCTTCTAAAAACTGTAGCTGTTGGCGTTCAAAAGGAAAACAGAAAATTCAGTCCAGTGAGAGTACGCAAAAGTCCGAGAAGTATAATGGTTAAGTGTAAGTATTGAAGCTCGGTAAATAATGGAACAATTTGTACCGAATTCTTACTTTCTATCTATACTTTGTAGCACTCGCGACCACGGCTAACCTAGTGAAGCGACAGGCAGTTCGCTCGGCCAATACCACTAGCAATGACCCAATCGTTCGAATAAATCGGGCCGCCTCTTTTCGAGTAAAGAAATAATATCGCCTTAAAAAAATTTAAATCAAATACATATTTCTTTCTAATGTAATATAGTTTACTCATTTATATCGTACACTCTCATATACAAACGCTTACGTACATCCATACATTTGTATTATTTATACATTACGTACATATATTTAATTCTACATACGTTTTTTTTAAGAAAACAGGTTTACAAATTTGGATAACTTACGGCAACATAGTATAACGTTCGACGTAAGATATGTGTTTGGAGAAGCACCAAAATTCTTAAATTATAAGTCATATAATTTCAAGTAATTCAAATATGCCCTCCACTGTATTTCGTCTTGTCACTCATATTCGTAATTTGTTTATTTTAACCATTTGCTGTCATGTTCATATGTATCTATTGCTTATTAATTTCTGATAACAGTTCTTTAAGCTAATTTTATTTTGTATAAAAGGTCTGTCCTTGAAGGCTGTAAAGGTTACACTGGACCACAAATTTCAACTTTTTCTCTTTACCAGAAACGCCGTTATGAAATTCTTATGTAAAATCACCCCCTGATTCCGAAAATCAAGGTTATTTTTAACTCTATGGTACCGTTTTTGAGATATTTGCAATTTACCGTTTTTGCAAAAAAAAAAAAAATGGGTCCACTTTATCATATATATCTCAAGAACGAATTAAGCAATTCCAAAACGGTTTGAAGCTTTTAAAAGGTAATAAAATTTTCTATAAACTGTGCATACAACACTTTTTGCTAGGCCCTGTAGATTCAAAGATAACGAACAATCATTACCGATTTTTTCAATTTTTTTTGTAAAAATATAAAAAAAATTGTACTTTGCGGGGAAGGATCTCGAAAACCTTTTATTTTTTTTATTTTTTTTCTCCCTAATCTCTGTTGTATTACAAAAAAAATAAGCTATCATCGAAGAAAATCGATGCAAAACTACGTAAGTTATAAGCGATCAAATAAAAATACCCAGGTGGCGCAACTTCAATGTATGTACCTATACATACATACATATATTAAAGGTATAAAGTGCAAGTGAGATATTATCCGGATAAACGAATAACACCATAGTACTTTTAATACTCGAATTGTATTATAGTAGGTAGAGTGGTTGCATCGAATGGAAGAGTGGTTGGGTTCGAAACCTGCTGTAGGCATGTAGTTATAAACATGTATTTCCGTCAGTTATGGGTAAGTATGCAGGTAGATTTTCAAAATTATAAGACACAGAAAATTTCTAAAGCCTACATCTAAAACAGGTAGTATTTTCTTTTCCCGGCTTGTTATAAAAAGGAACCTTTCTGTCTAGGTAAGATTTGATTTTTTCAATTTTATTCTTGTTCCGAGTATAAATATGAGTTAATGCGCTTTGAAACTTCATAACATCTTCAAGGCTCGCCGGAGATAGTTCAGTTCATAAGTCTAATTTCAAAACCGTGATTCATTAAAAAAAATAAAATGAGTAAAAGGACGCGAGAATTTGAGTGTAATAAGGATCCAGATATGTTCTGTTTCATGTGTGGCCAATATACTATCATAAGGCGACGACGAGTGTTCTCAGATCATATCAAAACTTTATACTCCAAGTATTTTGGAATTGAGCCTAAAAATGCTGAAAAACCATGGACACCGAACACTTTGTGTACATCGTGTCGAGTAGAATTGATTCAGTGGGAATCAGGACAACAAACAAAATTTGATACACCAATGATATGGAGAGAACCTACTTGTCATTCAATTGAGTGTTATATTTGTCAAACAAAAGGACTTGGCGTTGGAAGATCAAGAGGAGTAACCTATGCTAGCGTACCTACAGTGACATTACCAGTACTACATTCAACGGCAGTTGCGGATCCAGTTCCATTGTCAACAGTAACATCTGAGTGCGGGGGATCAAGTTGTACTGAATTTCGCATGGAAAACGAAAGAAACGTTCTGTCACAAGCACAACTTAATGATTGGATAAGAGATTTGGAACTATCCAAGGAAAAGGCCGAGATCCACACTTCTCGTATGCAACAATTTAAATTTGTGTCATCCGATGTTAAGGTGACATATAGTAGAACTCGTCACGAACCATTTTCCAAACACTATACCAAGAAAGACAGTATATGCTACTGCAACGACATCCCTGGTTTATTCAAAGAGTTTGGTCAAACATATGATTCAAAAGAGTGGCGATTGTTCATAGACGGCAATAAACTGAGTTTGAAGGCTGTATTATTGCATTTTGGTAACAAAAAGCCTTCTATCCCGATTGCACATGCAGTAAATACAAAGGAAACCTACGAGGAAATGCAAAAAATACTCAAATTTATCAAATATGAAGAGCATGATTGGAAAATATGTTCTGATCTCAAAGTCGTTGCAATAAGATAAAGGAAGGTATTTTTGTTGGACCACAAATAAGAAAGTGAAACAGAGCATAGCTAGATATTTCACTCTTCTTTATACCATACATACGTTTTGAGGTATACGTTGAAATTGCGCAACCTGGGTATTTTTATTTGATCGCTTATAACTTACGTAGTTTTGCATCGATTTTCTTCGATGATAGCTTATTTTTTTTGTAATACAACAGAGCTTAGGGAGAAAAAAAAAATCTGCAAAAAAATAAAAGGTTTTCGAGATCCTTCCCCGCAAAGTACAATTTTTTTTATATTTTTACAAAAAAAATTGAAAAAATCGGTAATGATTGTTCGTTATCTTTGAATCTACAGGGCCTAGCAAAAAGTGTTGTATGCACAGCTTATAGAAAATTTTATTACCTTTTAAAAGCTTCAAACCGTTTTGGAATTGCTTAATTCGTTCTTGAGATATATATGATTAAGTGGACCCAATTTTTTTTTTTTTTTTTGCAAAAAACGGTAAATTGCAAATATCTCAAAAACGGTACCATAAAATTAAAAATAACCTTGATTTTCGGAATCAGGGGGTGATTTTACATACGAATTTCATAACGGCGTCTCTGGTAAATTTTGGCCGTCGACCAGTGTTATTAAAGAGAATCCGTTTCGCGAAATACACATCTTGGTTAAACTATCGTGTTTTAATTTGATCGCTTCTTGGCAAAAAGGCTTGCCAATTGTCCATGGTGACCCCGACGTGATTCGCGTAAACGGAAAAATTATTTTGTCGAAACTACTAGATTTAGACAAAAACATTAATTCGCTACGATTCGCTTTATTACGAAAATCGAAAGGTTATTAAATCGACCTCGTTACTAAAATGCCTGATTCGTCAGCCAGTGATGCTCGTGTGAATTCCACATTTTACAAGCGCAAGGTAGCAGCGCTCACAAGGCAACTCGATGATATTCGCACAACCCTGGCCCCGGAAAGGCTACTTGAGCTAGATTCAGCAGCACTCGCTGTGTGGCTTGAACAGGTTGAACGTATAGAAAGAAATTTTGACGGCGTCCAAACGAAGCTTGAGGAGCTTGACCACATGGAATTGGAGAGTAGCGCCCGTTCGGATTTTTTTCGTGCATATGCAGACATCAAAACTTCCATAGTTAAGGAGCAAAATGAACGGCAAGTAAACGAAAAACGTCAATCGTTTACAGCGCGGCAGTTTTCGCTCGACGAGCCATCGTCCTTCATCATAACTCAGCCAAAATCGCGCCTACCCATACTTCAAATCCCTAAATTTAGTGGGTCATATATCGACTGGCCTGACTTCTATTCAATGTTTTGCACCGTGGTGGACAAGGACTCCGACCTTACAAACATTGAGAAATTCCAGCATCTGCGTTCCAGCTTGACAGCTTCGGCCTTAGACACTATTCGTTCACTTGAAATAAAAGACGAAAATTACAAAACAGCTTTGGAATTATTAGTTTATCGTTTTGATAACAAACGCTTGAATTTTCAGGCCCATATCAAATAAATATCTGCGCTTCAAAGGATAGAACCTGGAGCCGTCGCGAAACTTCGTGAATTAAGCGATAAAGTCAACGCACATTTGCGTGCACTTCAAACCATGGCAACGAAAGAACAGCTTTCCGACTGTATGCTTATCCACCTCATCTGCAGTAAGCTCGACATATCATCGCAGACTAAATGGGAAGAAGAAACACCAACTAACATCATACCAACCTGGGATTCAATGGCAAGATTTCTAGAGAAGAGATGTCAGCGGTTGGAGAGTGTGGAAGTCGCCTTGGTAACGCAAACACCAGGCCATCAGGTGGGAAAGAAATTTGCTTTAAACAATAAAAATCATCGAAAAACATTTGTTGTGTCCACCAAAACCTGTTCCTTTTGCGACTCCCAGCAGCACTTAATACAGCAGTGTACAAAGTTTCTCAGTTTGTCCCCTGCACTTAGATATAAAGAAGCGAAAAAACTGCAGTTATGTCTTAATTGTTTACACAGAGGTCATTTGATGAAGTCTTGCACAGCAGGTAGCTGTCGAAAATGCTCGTCCAAGCACAACACTTTATTGCATTTGAGCGCAAGCTCTCAGTCCACCTCGCTCGATTTAAACGCATCGTCGCCTGCGGTAGATAGCTCCGCACATAAAACGTTGACATCCAACACTCCGGCACAGTCGAGCCTCATATCGGCATCATCACTTCCCTCAATTTCCGCTCAAAGTGCAGAAACGTCGCCTCATAACTTTGTTCTTATCGCTACAGCTATTGTACTCATAACAAATAAAGCTGGCTGCCTCGTACCATGCAGATCACTCTTAGATTCGGCATCCCAGCTAAACTTTATTACTTCTCGCTTTGTTCACCAGCTTCAGTTAAAAAAGTCTAAAGCCACAACGCTAATTTCTGGCATCGGTCAGTCTGAGCTTGTGTCAGATCATACGAGTTGATCTTCGCATACACTCTCGTATTGGTGATTATGCATCCTCTTTATCTGCCGTCGTAACACCAAAGATCACTGATTGTCAACCTGGATACTCGCTTAACAATATCGACTGGAGCATCCCATCAAATATATCGCTAGAAGATCCATTGTTCTTTGAATCGCAGCGCATAGATCTTCTTATAGGCGCTGGCCTCTTTTTTGAATTACTCTGTGTCGGACAAATTCGCATGCATGAGCACCTTCCCTTACTGCAAAAAACTCGCCTGGGCTGGGTAGTATCTGGTGGTGGCCGATTTGTAAGAAAACGTCTCAGCTGTTTAGCATCCTTAGAGGAAAATTGGGTGGACGACTCCGACGCACTTCATAATCTCGTAGAGCAGTTCTGGGCAGTTGAAAATTCGTTTCAGCTCGAGCCTCATGCCACTCACGAAGAACTCGAATGTGAAGCTCACTTCGCTCAAAATGTCACTCGCTTGAAATCAGGTGAATATTCGGTTCATCTTCCTACAAAAATCGATCCCAGTCAACTTGGTGATTCATATCACACTGCTCTTCAACGGCTGAAGGGGTTAGAGAAAAAACTCAAACGCAACGAATCGCTTCGAGAGCAGTACGTAGCATTTATGAAAGAATATATAGCTCTTAAACATATGTCGCCAGTCAGTAGCATAACAGGCAAAACTCCAATGTACTTTCTGCCCCACCACTGTGTGCTAAAAGAAGACAGCACAACCACAAAGTTGCGAGTGGTGTTCGATGGTTCGGCATCTTCTACTGGATATTCCTTAAACGATATTCTCATGGCAGGGCCAACGATACAGGCAAAATTGTTCGACACATTAATACGTTTTCGTTCGTTTAGGATTGCGCTCACAAGCGACATATGCAAGATGTATCGCTGCGTACGCGTTCCAGATCCCGATGCATATTTGCAGTGCATACTGTGGAGAGATTCCCCAGAAGATGAGATTAAAATCTACAAATTAGATACAGTCACGTATGGTACGAAACCAGCTTCTTTCTTGGCCATTCGAGCGATGCACCAGCTTGCAATCGACGAACAGTGCAATTACCCTATAGGTGCTATAATCGTTCGTAGGGACTTTTATGTTGACGATATGATTTCTGGTGGCAACTCTGTCGAAGAGGTACTCGAAATTAAGAGTCAGACCTGTGACCTATTGGCCAAAGGTAATTTTATTTTACGTAAGTGGTGTACAAACGATCCGGATGTCTTATGCAAAATATCAGAAAACGAGAGGCAAACATTTTTGAAGTTTAACGATGGAAGCGAAGTAACCAAAACTCTTGGACTTATCTGGGATACGAGAACTGATTGTTTTCTCTTCTGTTTCAACCCAGCCTCATCAACATGTAAGAGAATCACGAAACGAAGTGTACTTTCAGTTATAGCACGATTTTATGATCCGCTGGGTTTAATTGGGCCTGTTATAGCAAAGGCAAAAATTTTGCTTCAACGTTTGTGGAAAGAAAAGGTTCATTGGGATGAGAGCTTACCGCAGAGCTTACAAAATGATTGGCTTATTATATGCGAAGACTTTCAGCATATAGATAAACTTCGTTTTGACAGATATTTTCTTTCGCCTGAAGCTCGTTTGCAAGTACATGCATTCTGCGATGCAAGCCTATCAGCATATGGAGCATGCATTTATATACGATCTGAGAGTTGCGGTAAAATAAAAACAAATTTGCTTTGTTCCAAATCTCGAGTATCTCCATTAAAACACTTACAGTGCCAAAGCTAGAACTTTGCGCTGCGTCGTTGTTGGCAACGCTCATCAACTCAGTGGCTCAACTAAACATCTTCGGCAGCGAATTTTATTGTTGGTCGGATTCCACAGTCGTTCTGTCGTGGATCAGCGGAGAACCTTCAAACTACAAAATGTTCGTTTCAAATCGGGTGAGCAGCATTCAAACTCTCACCAAGCACATGTCGTGGCGGTACGTGCCAACTAGTATGAACCCGGCAGACATTCTGTCGCGGGGAGCTTCGCCTTTGGAATTGTTAAATTCGCCACTATGGATGTATGGGCCTCACTTTCTGCAGCTCAGTCGCAATGAGTGGCCCGCGGACTTCGCACCTGTTCATGACCTACCCGAGCGTCGTCAGTTTGCAATGTTATCAACAACAAAAACTATTGATTTTTCACAGAACTGCAAGTTTGTGAATTCATTCCCGAAAATGCAGCGTATATATGCCTACGTCAACCGATTTGCAAGAGCCATAGGGTGCAAGGATGATCGAAAATTTGGAATGCTAACTACTGAAGACATTAGCTTAGGCACAAAGCTTTTGTTAAGAATGATTCAGCGAGTGCACTTGGCTTCCGACTATAAGGCTTTAGTAACAAGCAAGGAGATAGCCGCGTCTAGCGATTTATATTCACTAATGCCGTTTATAGACGAAGACGGCTTGATGCGCGTGGGCGGGCGACTTGAAAATTCGTCATTAAACTTTGAATCAAAGCATCCAATCATATTGCCAAAAGGGCATGAATTGACCGAAGCCTTGATTGATCATTTTCATCGTAAAATGTTGCATGGTGGACCACAAGCCGTTTTAGCGTCGATTCGTCTCCAGTACTGGCCAATAGGTGGAAGGAAGGCTGTAGCTAAGGTGATCAACAAGTGCATACGATGCTTTCGAGTTAAGCCAAAAACAGCAGAACATCTTATGGGCAACTTGCCGGCCGATCGTGTGCAGGCAAACCGAGCATTCTTAGTAACTGGCATGGATTTTTGTGGCCCGTTTTTGTATCGATCTGAAGTACGCAATAAACCTGCTATTAAATGCTACATCTGCCTGTTTGTTTGTTTTAGCACAAAGGCTGTGCACCTCGAGTTGGTTAGTGATTTGTCAACACCATCGTTTATAGCCGCACTCAAGCGCTTTATATGTACGCGTGGTAAACCTAAAACGCTTTGGTCTGATAACGCTACAAACTTCGTTGGTGCAAAAAATGAATTGGCAGAGCTAAAGCAACTATTTTTTAACGATCAAAATCGCCAAGCAATCCATCAGCAGTGCCTTGACGATGGTATCGATTTTCGCTTTATACCTCCTAGGTCTCCGCATTTTGGCGGCCTTTGGGAGGCATCCGTGAAAACTGCAAAATTTCATTTTTGGCGTGTTGTTGGACTTTCGGTTTTAAACTTCGATGAATTAAGAACACTGGTGGTTGAAATTTCTGCAGTAATGAACTCTCGCCCTCTCTGTCCTCTTACAGAAAATCCTGAAGACCTCGACGTACTAACTCCGGCCCACTTTCTGATCGGGTCAGCATTCACCGCGTTGATTGAGCCAGACGTTTCAGTGCTTAATATTAACCGCTTGGACAGGTGGCAGCGGGTTTGCTATATGCAGCAAATCTTCTGGAAAAAGTGGTCTGCTGAGTATCTCACGCTTCTGCAGCAACGTAGCAAATGGCGCTCCCGAAAGCCGAATATTGAAATCGGAACCATGGTGCTTGTTAAGGATGAGAATTTGCCTCCGCTGAAGTGGCCGCTGGCCAGGGTGATTGAAACCATCAAGGGCAGCGATGAAGTTGCGCGAGTGGCTGTTCTTCGCACCGCTAGTGGTACTACCAGGCGCGCTATCAACAAGGTGTGTGTCCTGCCCATGAACCCTGATGTAGTTGAAAGCCTGCCGCTTCCAACGGGGGGAGGATGTTTGGAGAAGCACCAAAATTCTTAAATTATAAGTCATATAATTTCAAGTAATTCAAATATGCCCTCCACTGTATTTCGTCTTGTCACTCATATTCGTAATTTGTTTA